GATGTACCAAATCGTCGCCGCCGGAGACGACTCGACGCCGCTGAGATCGGAGATCAAGCTCTGACAGGTCGCACGTCGCTCCTTTGACGCCGACGTGACTCACCCGTGCAGATCACATCAGGACACGGTCTCGACACGCTCGGTACGACGCCTGCGACCCGTCTTGGGTCAGGTGGCACGACGCTCATCGCGCCTGCCAGCGCTGCCGTGCAGGTTGCCACGACGAGGTCGAGCACGCTTCTATACGCTCGCCCAGCCTTCCTTTCCATCCCATTAGGCAGCCTGGGAACGGTGGCGGTCAGAGGCAAAGCCTGCGAGGGGTGGTGGAACCACATGTCACGGCTACCGCCGGCTCGACCCCACGATAGCCTCCGGAGGCTGACTTTGAGGCACAATCATCGGACGACGTCGGCGAGTTGAGTCGCGCTCGCGGTAGCCAGATGACCTCTCATACTAGTATCATCGGCCATGGCCGCAGGAAGCGCGGGGGATTCCGCTGGGAGCAACACGGAGCTCCGTTGGACGCGTTTTCAAGATTAGCGTGTCAGAGTGAATTGGAACTAGCCTTAGAGAAGTCACAGAGAGGAGAAGCCCTTGACCACGCACAGTGAGAAGTCTGCAGATATAGAGACTCTATTAGGCCTAAATTAGAGGCGGGGAGGGGGGAGCTGGCGTGGGGGCTCCGTCAGGGGCGGCGACCGCGACCCCCCCCATCTTACAGGTGATATATGCGCATCTTGAGATAATATGCATCTAAGATGCGCCCTACAGCCTACTTGGACTGCACACTGTCTCGCCTATGCTCGAGCATCTCTAGATGGTTTTTTCAACTAAGATGCCGGGCGCGGCCGCGGGGGGAGCATCCTCTGGGTACTGGGATGCTCGAACCATCTGAAGATGCTTCGCATCCCAAGATGCTTGGCATTTAATGATTAAAATGCAACTTAAATCATAAGGACTTCCGAGCGGCATGTGAGCCCTTGGATCAAAGTTGGAGTGGATTTCAGTTGCTAATGCTAAGTGAGATGTGACTACCACTGCTCTGTCGTCTGTGGAATACTACTGATGGTGATGGAACTGGGAGCCAGTGAGTGATGGTGGGGGGGCACTTAGCCCTTGTGCTAATGCTGACTTTACTACATGGACGGTTGCGGTTCTATATGTAAGACTGGTTTTTATTTCTTCGGGTTCGGCAAAAAAACTCCGACACTGACCACTGTTGCAGTTGGCGACGGTATATCATTTCCCACTATGCCACGTCGCCCATCCCCCAACTGCAACTGTCGATCGAAAATATTGGAAAAAATCCGACAACGCGCTCATGTTTCTGAGATGCATTGCGCATCCTCAGATGCCACATTGCATCCTGGGATGCATGGACTAACCCAAGATGAGGGTATCATCTCGGCACACTTGTGCGTCTGAAGACGACACTCGTGCATCTGCATGGTTGAGGGTATCTTGAGATGTCACGGGCTAAACCTAAAGTATCAAATCAAAAGACGCGATGCACCATCTAAAGATGATTTTGATTAAATCTTCTTGGAGACCCCAATCATAGTGGAGACACCCGGTGTCCTTAGTGCTTAGATGGAAAACGCATCCTAGATGGCGTTTGGCATCTATGATGCGCATATCATCTGGTAGATGGGGGTGTCGATATCTCTCGACATCGGCACTGCCTCCGCACCCTCTGTGATCACTTGGTCTCTCTTCCACTATGATCGCCGTGGCACGCTGAGGTGTATCGGGGTGTGAGACAGTGAGAGAGCGACGGAACCCGCCCGCCCTGGAACGCCCGCGATGCGCCCCCGAGATGCGTCGACGGCCCGGTGTCCTTCTTACGTCTCAAAGACGCGTGCACGCTCGGCCACGCTCTTCAGCTGCAGCTCCTTGCGAGTGCTTGCCTGTGGGGGCGGGGAGGCGCACACCAGACGGGCGCGTGTTTCCATGCCTGACTAGTTAACGCGTTTGCGTGCGGGGAAGAGAGAGGGGGAGGGCGAGTGGAGGAAGCGAGAGTGTGCGGCTGCTCCAGGTGTTGCGCTCTGCGGCGAGGGGAGCAGAGACCAGAGAGAGAGGGCGAGCGCACTGCGTGAGCACTGCGGTGAGGAGCCGCGAGGGCGGCTCTGTGAGCCGCGAGGGCAGCTCTGACCGAGGCTCTGTGGCCACTTCTGTGACCTCCTCGATGGCCTCCCTCCGCCCGGGCTCGCTCGAGACTGCTGCCCCTGCCCTAGAGGCTGCGGCCCTTCGGAGGCCGGGCTCGTTCAAGGGCGGGCCGCCGCCGCCGCCGCCCTCCCCCCCGCCTGCACCGCCTCCTGGCCCGTCCTCTCCGAGATGGCCCTCTCCGAGATGGTCCTCTCCGAGGAGGCGGGAGTGCTGCCGCGGCCCCGCCAGCGAGCGAGAGAGGAGCACGCAGGCCAGGCCGAGGAGAGCGCAGCCGCCGAAGGTGACGGAGCCCACCGCGAAGAACATCAGGCGGCCTTCGCTGCTGCCGAGCACGCTAAGCAGGGAAGGGGGGGGCGGCGGCGGCGGCGGGGACGGCGGCGGCGGCGGCGGCAGCGGAGGGGGGGAGGGCCGTTGCGGTGGACTCGAAGGCGCGAT